GTTGGAGTCTCACTCTGTCACCCAGACTGGAGTGCAGTGGCTGCTCCCGGCCACCACAGCCTCGACCTGCTGGGCTCTGGCCATCCTTCTGCCTCCGCCTTCCAAGTTGCTGGAACTACAGGCGCGTGCTGCCACGCCCGGCTAAATTTTTTGATTTATTGTAGAGATGAGGTCTCACCAAGTTGCCCAGGCGGGTCTCGAACCCGCGGGCTCAGGCAATCCACTCCCTCAGACTCCCAAGGCGCGGGATTACAGACTGAGCCACCGAGCCGACTTCTCCCTCCTATTCTTGTTCCAGCTACCCAGTTTCCCAAAACCGATGCTTTCAGTGCCTCAGGTATTCTGAAAAACCACCAGCTGAGAACCTGCCCAACTTCCTGTCACACAAAATCATGAATTATAACAAAGTGGTTGCTGTTTTAAGCTGCTAAGTTTTGGAATATGTCTTATATAGCAATAGAGAACCAGAACAGCATTCTTTCTAGGGAACTCTATATATCAGTAAGATTAGCCATTTATCTGATGTACTACAAACATATTTTTCCCAAATCTTTTGACTCTACTTATTAAAGTCCTTAGTCATCCAAAACTTTATCATTTTTATATAATTGAATTTATCATTCTTTTTGTTCTAAAAACCAGCTAGAGCAAACAATTGAGAAAGACAATTTTTAAGAAAAAGAGAAATGAAATATATCTAGCATTAAAATTAAATTCACAAGGTCTATCTGAAGAAAAACAAAAATTTCTGAACAATTCAAAGAAAATCTAAACAAAAAAAATTTAATTCTAATACTAGAAATTAATGTAATCACAATAATCCCAAAAGGAGGCTGGGCGTGGTGGCTCAAACCTGTAATCCTAGCACTTTGGGAGGCCATGACAAGAGGACTGCCTGATCCCAGGGGTTCAAGACCAGCCTGGGCAACTTGGTGAGACCTCATCTCTACAATAAATAAAAAAATTAGCTGGGCATGGTAGCACAGGCCTGTAGTTCTGCCTACTTGGAAGACTGAGGCGGAAGGATCACTTGAGCCCAGCAGGTCAACACTGCGGTGGCCGTGAGCGTGCCGATGCACTCCAGCCTGGGCAACAGAGTGAGACTCCAACTAAAAAAAAAAACCCCAAAAGGATTATTTTAAATGAGGTAAATTGGAGCAGTGGGGTAGGATTGGCAATTAAGGGAAAGTGGTGGGGGGGAGGGCACACCTCATCAACAAGGGTACCTGCATTCTGAACATTTGTATACCTAGACCCTGAATTGGACCCTGCATCTTAAAAAAATAAAATGAGATAAGCTGATTCTATAGTTTGTGTGAAAAACCAGAATACAGCCTGGGCTACATAGTGAGACCTTGTCACTACAAAAAGTTTTTAAAAGATTAGCAGAACTTGGTGGCACGCACCTGTAGTTCCAGCTACTCAGGAGGCTGAGGTGAGAGCATCACTTGAGCACTTGAGTTCAGGAGGTTAAGGCTGCCAGGTAAGCCAGGATCATGCCAGTGTACTCCAGCCTGGGTGATAGAGCAAGACCCTGTCTCAAACAAAAAAACCAGAATAGCTAGGAAAATTCTACCAACTTCTAGTCCAACTAAATATGAAAACATTATAAAGCTACCATACTTGTAACAGTGATACTGGTTCATGAGTGGACACAAGTATCAACTCAGCAAATATAAGCACACATGCACACAAATGCACTACACGCAGGCAGTTGGTATACTAGGATATAGATTCCAGACGAATCAAAGTTTTAAGTGTAAAAAGGCAAAATCATTGTTAAAACTCAAGGAAATCACCAAGCAGTTCTGATAAGTTGTATAATCAAATTCTTGGTTATAGAAGTCAACTCCCAAAAGTTTAGGAATCATGACGTCACAAACAGGAAATGCAGACACAAGTAGTTAACCATCTCAGCATCTGAGATGTCATCCTAGTGTGTCCTACACATGTTAAGTCAGCCAGTCTATCTCTGTGCACAGTATGACACACTACTGGGTTTGGGATGGGGAAAAAAAATTTTTTTTTTTAGCCTTACTATGTTGCCCAGGCTGGAATGCAGTGGTGCCATCATAGTGCGCTGCAGCCTTGATTGAATTCCTGGGCTCAAAAGATCTGCCCACGTCAGCTTCCCCGCACTAGCTGGCGAAAGTTTTTTGAAAATATTTTTTATTTAAAAATCTAATTGGCGTCTCATCTGGTCGTCCAGGCTAGAGTGCAACCGCACACTCACCGCCACCCCAGCGTCGACCAGCCGGGCTCCGGCGATCCTTCTGCCTCAGCCTTCCAAGCAGCCGGAACTACTATAGGCGTGTAGTACCACGCCTGGCTAATTAATTTTTTTTTTTTTTTTTT